AAGTAATTGATGTACATCAGGCAAGCATTTCAATATTCGAAAATACATGGTGTACCTGCCCACCGACACCAACCAAATAACTGAGAATAGATCAAAAGCACTCAAACATCGTTCTATGTAGCCTGAACAAATAACACGGAATTTAAATCACAAACTTTCTTCAATTCATTCTTGTATGGTGATCTTCGTGTTCAAACACTTCATGAAGCTCTCAATCACATCAAATACAGCCAACCAGGGAGTAGATCTTGATTGCAATTTATGGAAAGATAGTACTCCCTCCGTCTAGGTGAATAAGTCACATTAGAAGGAGCAGCGCGACCTAGGTGGCTTAAGATTGGACGAGGAGCAGCACCACAACTAGAAAAACTTCCAATCACAGCGCTGTTTTAAGCGGAAGCAAAATCAGCATTGATTTGCTACTTATTAGGATGCTGTTTGAGCTCTCTCAGGCCACCTACGTGAACGCATGCAAGACTGTCATCAACTTCTTGCCTAATCAACGCCCAGCTGCGATGCATGCACGGGTCATTCTTCTGCGGGCACCTCCTCTTCCTATCATGCATATTTCTCGTGGGCAGCAGTACAAGGCTGGGATAAAAACAAGGATGGAATTTAATGTGTTGTGCCTAAGACTTTTGGGAATACCTGATTTTCGTAAGATGACTTACACACCTGGACGGAGGGAGTAACTGTAGGTTCCACATATACTTCAACAGACCCCACATGTGCAGCCACTCTTGCCTAAACTTGGGCACGACAGGCACTTGCCTCCATGTTTGTGAATGGGGTGAGCAAACACGTTAGCCAGTTTCTTTAATATCTGAGTAACAATTTAATCAGATGATATAACAGAACTGGTGAGGGACTCGTAATATATTGCAGCAGAAGATCACCCCAGTAGATGGTTTACATGGCACATGCACCTAAGGACTTCAATGAGGGTTCCAGAGTCAGGTATGTCGTCCAGTAAGTTCATTCCAACACCACCGAGATTTCCCCCATTCATCTGAAGAACCTGATATGTTAAAAGTAGTTAGTATCATCTCATAGATGATAAATGGAAATTTCAGTATTAGTTCTCAAATACTAGGACAGAAACATACCATAAATAAGTTGCTCCAGATCTTCCAAACACCGGAAGAGAGAAAATGAACCCTTCCTAACAAAATAAAATTCTTCGTGGTTAGAATCAAGAAGCAACCCATATGGCCTACTGGTCTGGCCTCAGTGGTGGACATATCAGAACTTCTTCCATTGATAATAGTAAAACTTGCCGTGTGTGAACTTGCCTACATAAGAATAGGGATTGTAAAGTTTCGGCCATGCTCTAGGATCACCACTTGTTCTATAACAGATATTATCTCCACTTACTAGCTGAACTGACCAGAGATAACTCCATCAACATTCATAGTACAAGTGCCATTAGAAACAGATGCATTATCTGAGCCGCCACCTTTTGGTCTTTTTGGTGTCATATTCCCTCCTTTAGAGACATTATCCCTGTTGCTGATCAACATGCCATCAAGTAAAGGGCCACC